GCCAGCCGCCGGCTGCACCGCTCGGACAGCTGGGCTGGCACAAACCCAGCAGTGAACAGCTGCTCCCTCTCCTTGAGCCCTGCGCCACAGAAACCTGCAACGCGTGGTGCTGCCCACAGGACGATGGTCACGGGATGGTGCTGAGCATCCTGGCAGGGCCACGACACGGGAGCTCACACAGCCCAGTACCAGCCCAGGCAATCGCCGCCTGCCTCTGCCTGCAAGCTGGAGGCAGGCTCAGAGGAGAAAAATCAGCCCTGCTCTGTCCTGGGACCCTTCCCACAACACCCCAATGCCTCTTGTCCCAAACCACCTGCCAGTGGCCAGATTCAGACCCGTAAGCCCTCCTGCATCCCCGCCGTGCCAGGAGCCACCGGGATGGCACTCACCTGCTCGTGGTACTCGATGCCCATGCTGAGCGTGTTGATGAGGATGGCCACCATGATCCCACGGCCAAAATACTTGCTGTCCACAATCTTCCGGAAGGTCTCGCACACCACGTGCCAGAAGGCCAGCACCCGGCTCGCTCTCCTGGCCCGGGCTCGGCCCCGCTGTGGGTCCCGCTGGTCGCTGTAGTGGGCATCCTGCGTGAACTCGTAGACCCCATCGCTGTCCGAGTCGGCTGTCTCATTGTCCGTCAGCTCAGCCTCGCTCGCCAGCGCCTTGAGGCAGTACGGGCAGCCCTCGGGGCTGCAGGAGCCGCCGTCCAGCTTGGTGCAGGGGCTGGAGATCTTGCAGGAGCTTTGGCAGGGACCTGAAATGCCAGCAGGGCAGGGCGGGCCCGTCAGCCGGGATGGGCAGCAAACCCCCAGCCCTGTTAGCACGAAACCATCACCCGCCACACAACAGGTGTTTCCTAAGGGGAAAAGGGCTCCTGCGGGGTTGAAGAGCCCTCGGCAAACCCCAAGTGCCTTTTCCCTAGTTACAAAGCCTTCTTTGCTGGCCCCAGGCGGCTGACATTGCCACCAGCCCAGGACCCCTAGCCCACCTCACTGTTCCTCTGGTCATTAGGGCCAGCTCCCCTGGCCCTGGCAGACTCCGGGCTGGAATTAGAGGGAGCACAGTCACCAGCACCCTCCTTTCCTGCTCCCGCTGTTTGCTGATGCCCCAAAATCCCCAGTGTTTCCCCTCCCTGTGCTGCCCCCAACGGCAGCTCCCGGGTGACAATACCAGTGGGATATTCCCCAAAACTCGCCCAGCTGGCTGCCAGGGCAGGAGACTCCGGACCCACGCAGCAGCACCATGCGGCGACATGAATAAAAACCCAGCGTTAAATCACCTCCGAGCCCAGCTCTGTGTATTTAGGCTCCAGGCAGCTCCAGGCTGCTGGGCAGGACTTCCCTCCCAGCTCCTAGCTGGAAAGATCAATGCCACTGCAGTGGGGGAAAACATGGCACTGATCGCCTCGGAAAGCTAGGCCAGAAACGTTTCTTGGAGGTTGAGAGGGTTTAGACTAGACTGGCCCAAGTCCCCAAACCTCAGGGTGTGGACGGGGAAAGAGCATCTTGTGGTGAAGGTACGGAACCCCCGACCCAGGAAAGCTGCGTTCCATGTCTGGCTCTGTTCAGGCTTTCCGAGCAAATCACAGAGTTTTGATACTTGGCGTCTGTGATTGCCACGGAGCACTCGTACAGAGCAGGCACCCCATCTCCCCACACCCCGAGTCCAATGGGGAGCGGAGCTACGGGGCGTGCTGGGGCCTGAGTCATTCAGATGGTCTCAAGCTCAGCAGTGGGCAATGGGGCCACTGCCAACCCCCGGGTTTTAGCAAGGAAGGGATGTGGCCGGTTGGAAGCAGCTGGGCTGGGCTCCAGCTCTGCTCGGTGTCACAGAGCCCTGTTCTAGGTGATTTGGGGAGCACAGGGATTTGGGGAGTGTTCCCTGTAATTGCAAAAGAAATTAGCTTGACTGGGAGGGGATGGGAAAGACGATGGGCTCATCATAAACATTCATTTCCCTTGGATTTTTGCAAATATGAAGTCTGGGCGGTTGAAACCTCTCTCCTAATTTTATCTATAAAAGGCATTAGGTAGGTCAGAAGGTCCACGTTGGCCTCACCTGGAAAGCCATCACCTTTCTCTGTCACATGGACTGAAAAGAACCCTGCGAAGATTCAGAAAGAGAAGGAAATTAGGTGGTAGGTTGTATTTCTGCAAGACAGCCCCAGACCAACGTCCAGCCCCAGGCTCACCCGTACTCTGCGTCTCCAGCAGCTTGTGCATGGTGCTGTCCGGCCCAGGGGGAATGTTGAGGCTCGTCAAGGTGCTGCTCCCGGCACCCACCGCTGCCTCCCCCAGGCTCTTCTCTTTCAGCACCTCCTGGGAAGTGCTGGGGTGCACAGTGGGGTACACCTTGCTGCCCACGATGTTCTTGGGGATCCCCTCTGGGCTCGGCAGGCTGAGGCCCGGCTGCGGGAGAGATGACCGGCAGCGCACCGGCTCGACATGGCAGTCGGCGTGGTAGATGCTATGGACAGACTCGGTGTTGCTGGGGGCGGCACCGGGGGCCCCATGGGGGCTTGTTGCCGACGGGGGGAGCATCAGCCGGTTGGTGCCGTTGTGGACCGAGCTGGTCTCCACGTCACTGATCTTTGGGCTGGCACGAGGCGCCCGCAGGTTCCCATTGCCCAGGTGATAGTGGTGGTGGTGGTGGTGATGGTGGTGGATGAGGTGGTGCACGGAGGACCTCTTCCTGCTCCGGCGCTTCCCAGCATGTCGGTCGGCCCCTGCCTTGCTCGTGGGGCTGGTGAGGAAGCCCATCCTCACGCCCACCACCCGGTAGACCTGCACAAGCTGCTTGCTGCCTTTTCGGGCAATGTAAACCAGGTACTTGAGGAGCTCGTCGTAGCAGCTGCCTGGCTCTGAGAAGCTGGCAAGGGTGCTGGCGTTGGACAGGTAGCGCACCCTCTGCTCCTTCATCAGCTGGCTCTCGCGCTGCTTGGTCTCAGAGAACTGCGTTGCTATCACCACCAGGCAGAGGTTGATCATGAAGAAGGAGCCCACCTAAGGGCACAGGAGCCATCAGCCACCTCGGAGTGGCCATACCCACCCTAGAGCCCTGCCTCACCCAGCCAGCCCCATTGCCCGCGTCACCCGGCAGGGACCACCGGCGAGAGGCTGACTCACCTCCCCCAGCCCCCGCCCCGGGTTCTCCCATGCCAGCGCTCCACGGAAGACGTCAGAGATCAAAGACAAGAGCAGATTATTTTGACAAAAAGCTTTTGCTCTTTTAAGACAGTGTTTTTCCCTCTCCGCAGACAGCGGTCATAATTATCACAATTAGTGGCATTACGATGAGCGCGCTGAGCCTTCCTGATAGGAGCGTTTTTTCTGGCAGCGCGTGGGCAGCTCGCGGGCAGATCCCTTTCCCCTGCTAACGGGATTTGCGGGTGACTGTTACGCAAGGGCAGCAGCAGCCCCTGCCCACAGCTCGGAGGTTTTATTTTCAACCAGGGTTTCATGAGGTTCTGCCTTCTGCAGAGCCCAGCCTGGCTCACAGAGAATCACTGACGTGCTAAGGGGCCGTCACACGCCGCCACTGTTACACAGCATCTGGAAAAGTACTGCTTGCTCTTCCTCTTCCCCTTGTTTCGGGGTGCTGAGAGCAAGAGATTGTTTGTTTTTTGGGGGAAGCTGGTAGATGAACCAGAAAAAGCATCCTGGGCTAGATGACCTCCTACTTTCTCAACAGGGTTGGAATCCTGGTTTGATGAGGAGCAGAGATCTCCACAATGGCCTAATGGACAATGTGCAGCTATTTTGCTGGACTTAGTTTAATTAGACAGCGAGAAAGGGACTCATCTCACTTATCTCAGCTACATCTGAGTGAGGCACCTAATGATCCTTTAGAGTCAAGAGAGAAATAGGCACATCAAGTCTGCAATGCATCTAATTTATTTTGGATGTCTACCTTCGGAGGAGATGAATCACTCCCTTAAAGCACCTATTTTTCTCCCTTGACGATAAAGGGAGTCTAGACAACGAGCTCAGCCAGTCACGGTAGACAATTCTGCTTGCATAGATGAAGCCCATCATGGAGCCCACCCCACAGAAACTCTTTGTTGGCTCCTTTGTGGGTGGTCTCGGATGATGCTGTGAAGTGTGGGTGGGCCGTGGGCAGTAATCTCTTCCCTCCTTCCCTTAATGTGCTCTCTGAAGTTTGGGACTGTTTTCCCAAAACGTCCCCTCTGCACCAAGGACCCAGCCAGCCGGGTTCTTCAGTAGGGGGGAATTTCTGGGCAGCCTCCTCCCTTCCGGAGCTCAAAACCTGACCAGGGGAAATTTGTCTAGTTTAAAACTTAAATTCAAGGTGGCAACTAAGGATAACAAGGAGAGAAGCAGTAGAAACAGCAGCAACAGAAAGAAGTCTCTCTGCCATACCTTAACACATCTTTCTTTCCTTCCTTCATGTTTGCAGCAAAACACAGCTGCAATGCAACGCCGTACTGAAGCTGCGTGTCTTGCAGCAGGATGGTTTCTACCCCTCCTACGCAGCATCAGCCTTTATATTCACTGTATTATCTGCCCTGTTCCTCTGGGTCACTCCACTCTGCCCTCTCCAAATGCCAGGAGGTCTCCCACGTTCCCCTAAGACCACTCACAATGATCAGGAGGATGAAGTAGATGAAGTTGTAGAAGGAGTGTGCATCCATGACAAAGTACATGATGTCCACCCAGCCTTCCAGTGTGATGACCTGGTGGAGATAGGAAGGCAAAATGAACCCATCAAGGCTCAGTGACACCACCAAGCACACAAGCAACATTTCTCATGGCTGGGTCATTTCTAGCACCCATAGCTGGTCTTGGTGCAGTGCAAGACACTGAGAAGCCAAATCCTCCTCCCACCAATGCCAATAGCCACATTGCCAGCTGCCCAGGCTGAACCCAGCCCTTCTTTTCCAGCGAGACCTGAAGCCCATTCTTGCATTTTGCAGAGGGAAGAGCAGGGTCTAGGCTCTGCTCTACATCAGGATGGTCTTCTCGCATGCACACAAGTTTTGGAGACTTGGGTTTTGTCCATGCACATGAGATGGAGGCATCTTCAAAACAGGTATTAGACTGTATCCCTGACATTTGGAGCACTCACGCGCTACTGTATAAGTGCTTGCTGGTGCAAAATAGCTCCCCAGGAGTGCAATTACACACCCCCCGGGAACATGTTGCAGGGCATGACCGAGCGCTCCCCACCTCGTGACAGGTTGCACGCAGGGCTCACCTGAAATATCGCGATCCAGGCGTAGCCAATGTTATCGAAGTTGATGGCTCCCTTGAAGGGGTTGTGCTCCCCAGCAGAGCAGTTGGTGTAATACTGGTTCCAGTTGACACAGGACGTGTTGGTGGTGTCATTGTAGGAATAATAATCCAAGGTGCATTCGAGACCTTCTTCCCTCCGTGTTGGGATACTCCGGCAGTAGCGCATCCCGTTCTCCCGGGGCTGGGAGCAGATGAAGGGGTTCTCATCTTCGTTCTCTGTCTGGTAGTATCGCTCCAAATCCACTGTGTATGGGCTGAAAGAGTCCAGACAGGGAAGGCGTTTGCACACCGACTGCAGGCAATCTGGCAAGGTAACAAGTGTAACAGCAACGAAGTCTGACATATTTTATTCTGGATCTCAAAGTTTGGTGGTTTTTTTTTTCTTTTAAAGGGATCCCCCTTGGACTTTTTGCAGCCCCAGTTGGTGGGATGATGTCCCTATCTGGGCTTTGGGAAATTGAGGGACTCAGCAACCCCTCCGATGACATTACTAAGAGTCACTCCACCTGGAGGTGCCCTGGCTTTGACTTTCGGGGACTAAGTGCAGGATTCAGCCCAGCATGGCTTCTCCGAAATGTCTTTGCTGCTGTAAGATGGAAATCCGTCAGTTTAAGCTCCTGTATCTCCTGTCTTCCTGGAGATGCTGAGAATGGCTTGGGGAGACTCCATGCACAACGACCTCCCAAGCTTCCTAAAACCAGAGACTGGGCCTTCATTCGCATTCCACAGTGCCTGTTCAGCCCGCAGATAAGCTCTAAATTCCCTCTGAGGGTGGCCTTACCGCAGCGACCCAGGCGAAAACACTTCAGGGAGATGGAACAGCCCACGGCCAGCCCGAAACTGGCTCCTTGCTCTGCACACAGCTATCTCCTTGATGCTGCCAGGACTCCCACTAAAGCCCGCAAAGATATTTTTAAGCCTAGTTCAGCCCAGTTAATTCCTGCAGAATTGCCTTTAATACCCTTCAAAGCATATTTAAACCCCTGGAATTCTGGCTCAATTAAGCAGCACCCAGACCTGTGGCTCTGTTGGATTTACACAGTGGTGAAGCAGGTCCCCAGCTCTGCTGCCATTTACTTAAGAGGGACGTGCCCTGGTAAGGGCTCTCCCCAGCGCTCTTTGAGGGCACGACGTACAAGAGGGGTAGCAGCCGGTCAGGAGATGTGTAGCAGAGGACAACTGGCACATCACGCCAGCTCCGGAGCCAAGATTCAGCTGGGCCCCAGCGGCATCATCATGGTCCTGCTGTATGCCAGAGGGAGAGACTTTGGGTTCCAAGGCTTCTCCATCTGGGTGCAGATCTAGCCAGATCAACTTCAGGGAGTCAACATTTGAAAGCGACCCACTCAAAGGTGACAGGGGTGCCGGAGCTCAGCAGAGCAGCCACCAAGGGCTTGCAGTCACCTGTACTTCACCAAGCATTCAAAGGGAGGTGGTGGTGGAAAAAAGCAGGTAGGTAGGAGAATAGGTATGGAAATTCTGGTCTGAAAGAGGCTGACAACTACCAGAACAGAGGGATACTTCAACCACCATTGAAACTTTCCTACATCTGGCAAGCTGGCTGCCCAGGAAACTGGGTGCTGCAGAAACCCGTTTGACCACAATAGTCCTCTTGGCCTTAAAATCCAGAGTTCTATGAAAAACAACAGAGGACAGGGACTATCTCTTGCTCTGAGACTGAAAAGGATCTAGCATCACAAAATGTATGGTAGCTCCATCAGCCTCCCCTGGGGTTTAGGTGGGTCTACAAACACTGTACCAATAAACATCACCAGCTGCTGAATGGGATTCAGACCTCCATGTCCTGACAAACGCAGAAAAGGTCACACAATGACACATCGAATTTGGAAAGCCCGAACTCTTATTCTCAGGGTTTTTTTGGAGGCTGGTATCAATCAGAGGTTCCCAAGTGCCAGCCGAGGGTCAGGGACAGCCCTGGAGGACTCGAACGGCAAATTGTCACAGCTTGCTCTGCTCTGGCTGTGCCTGCCTGGGCGGGAGTTGTGGTGGCATTTAGGAGCAGGGAGCATTTACAGCAGACCGAGGTGATTTAAGGGATGATGTCCTTGTCTCCTGGAGGGACAGGAGCTGGAGAGACACTTCTGCTGCCCGCGCAGACTCACATGCTGAAGTTTTCGGGGAGGAAGCAGCGGTTCCTGAGCAAACCTGCCCACAGCTGGACTCCCACGATGCCGAAGATGAAGAAGACGAAGAAGCAGAGGAGGAGGACGTTCCCCAGCATGGGCAGCGTGTCCAACAGAAGAGTCACCAGGATGCGCATACCTGAGGTGAAGAGGAAGTGATCAGGGAAAGGGCAAGGTCCATGATGGATTTTCTTATTCTGGCGATATCCTCCTGACCTTTTCCTTTCCGTCCATACTTCTCCTTCCACTGACAGCGCTGCCTTCCCAGCCACTGTCCTTGTCGCCCACACATGGCTTGCAAACACCCGCAGCTCCCCAGTCCCCTCTGGTTCCCCCCCAAAGCCCCTGAGATATCCCCTTCATCCACGTCCCGCTCTTGGGCACACAACGAACCTTCCCTTCTCCTCTCTCCTCCCTCCACATCTCAAGTCCTCTTCTCCTCCTAAAGTTTTCTAGCAATCACGTCTCCTTTCTTCCCTGAGACCAAACTCCAACAGTCTCCTTTGCTCAGTCGTATTTCTTTCCCCACTCAGTATATATCAAAATTCCCTTCCCTCCCTAATTCCCCTCATCTACCCTAAATCCCTTCCCTTCCTTAAAATACAGGACTCTCTCTGGCAGTTAATTCTCACAAGTTCGGGAACAACCAGTTCTATAACAAAGACAAATTGATGGTGACTCCAACTTGACATTTACACACAAAAAAATTGATTTCATCTGACGTCTCTGTAATATTCTGCTCATCTCTCGCTCTCCTTCCTTCCCCATCTTCTGCATTCTCTCACTCGCTTATATTGATTTTCATTTAAAGAAAGCTTTACTGTTGCACCCCTTGCTTTGATACTTCAAGAAGACTTTTTTTTCTCTCTTCCTGATGCTGTCACCTCCTCTGTCAGGTATTTTCTTCTACTCCTCTACCGGGGAACAACCACCTTGCGTCAACTCCTAATTAACTGAAATGACTTTCTGTGGTTACTGCATTTATCATCGTACAAAAAATCTCCTTTTTCTCTTCCCACCTTACACTTCTATCCCATTGTAACTACATAGCAGAGAAGCCAAGATAAATTACCCGGGATTTCAAAATACATTAAGTGAATTACATCCCCAGTTAGACAGTGGTGGATAAATTCAGCCATCCATCAGTTCAGCAGCGGGGATAAAAAAACCCCATTGCAAACAGGATTCTGAAGCTATCATGATTGAAACAGCAGCAGCAGCTGCAAAGCCAGATTAAGTTCAAGAGTCAGGACTGGAAAAATAACCACAGCCCGGGCACCTCCAGCATGGGCGGACAGAACTGAGGCTGATCGGTTCTCATCACGGCATTGGGCTCGGTCAGACAGGGCAGTTCAGGCTTGGGTTTAGTTTGGCTGAAACGATGCTGGATCTGATATCCAGGAACCAGAAAAATGACATTTCTGGTGCGGTTGTACTTACGTTTTTCACACCCAATCCATATGGCAGCTGAGGTGGACGGAGCTCGCGTCTCTCGCAGCACTCCGGGCTTTGCCCAGCAAAGTTTGGTTGGGTTTGGCAGTTTGGTGGGGTTTGCCACGGCCAATGCCTCTCCGAGCACAGGGCTGGGTTGCTGTGGCCTGCCATGATGCTGCTGCGATGCAGGAGCAGGCAATGCCACCTGTTGCTGTTCAAGGGGGGTCTGAGATCCTCATGTCTGACCTGGTAAACCAGCACTGAATAGACACCTTCCATCCCACCCAGGCACGCTTTGGAGGTTTTTAGCTATACAGATCAACTCTAGGGAGCAGAGCAAGAGATGCTCCAAGACGAAGCTCCTCAGCACCTCCTGGGGAACCGTCTCCAGACACAACAAGCTTTCCTTGCCTCAGTTTCTCCAAGAAAAGATGGGGTAATGCAGGGAGGGTGGGAGCACCATGGCTCAGATCTCTCTGCCCATATTGCCTGGGAAAGGCTGTTGGCTCAGTCAATCCCTATCACCTGCATCCCTTCACCTTAGCAGCCTCCTAAGACCCTCTTCAGATGAGAAAGGCAGGCGTCTGAAGACAGCCCTAGATGTCTTATTGACTGGTGGCTCATCTCTGATGCCACCAGTGTCAAAAAGAATATTACTTAAAGCAGGAGAATGACAGGCACTGGAAACCACAGAGCAGTGGTAGCTCTACCAGGCTTGGATGAACGTTTGAGCTGCAACATAAGATAGGAAGTACCCGTGTTCGCTCTTCCATCTTTGGGGCACAGATAAAAAGAACTTGCACAACTGAAAGGAATAAGGATCTGACTTACTGGGGACCCTGTTGATGGCCCTGAGCGGCCGCAGGACGCGGACAGTGCGGACCGCTGAGAAGCTGACGTTCTGCAGGTCCAGGGAGTACTCCAGCATCCTGCGAAAGACACGAATGCGGAGAAGCGTCAAGGATCTTCTGGAGAAATGTTAGATTATCAAACATTATAAATCAAACATTATATGGCAACCGCTCACAGAGGGACTCGTTACTGCATCTCTCCCATCAGGAGAGTTTGCCAGAGGAATTAATTAAGGGTTGTTTACGTATCAGAATAAAGTCAATGAGCGAGAACATGATACACCAGCTCACACAGCCACACGTCTTGTCTCTCTCTTATCTGCTTTGGTTACTGGTTTTGCACAGGTCCAGGGCAGAAGCTTCTGGAAGTTCCTGCACCCTTCAGGAGGGCAATTTCCACAAACAGCCTTGTTTTTAACAACAATTAAACAGATACTCTAATCAATCTGGATTTGTTGTGCTGAGCAGCACCCTGTAAAGCAGAGGAGGATCCCCTGGTGCAGATCCTCCCCACAGGGCACAGGCGATGTGCAGCACAGGACACGAAGCTACACCAACTCTACCCAGCAGAGATCATTGGCAGGGGGGACTCAGGTGGATGGGCAAGAACATAAATCAAAACTGATGACACTTGCAGATAACAAATGGGACAAACATGGACCAAGGGACCTCCCAGCGCTCCTACACTGTGCCTGGTGGGGTCTCAGGACCTTGAGGTGCAACCTTCACATGGCTTCATCTGAGGATGCACTTGGACCACTGCAAATCCCTGGGGTCCCCCAACATCATCTTGCTCTGCTCACGGCACCTTTGCTCAAGCACAGCAAGGCCATCAGTCACATCACCACCAGCACTTTGCTCTCCAGCTGGGGGAAAACACAAGTCCTCTGCCCAAAAGCATTCCTGAAGAGGCAGAGCCAGGCAAAGGCAAGGACAAGGACCACGAGGCTCCCCGCACAGCTGGACTCCCGCTGCCACAGGCAACCACAGGATATTAATCTCTTCCGAAAGTTATCAAGTTCCACCTCAAAGCTCGTTGGGCAGTTCCCTCCCTCCAACTCGGACGGTTAGATGCCTAACTTCCAGCCTAAATTTATTCGGAACAAGCTCATATCCATTTGTTCTTACGGCAGCACTGTCTTTTAAGTAGCTTCTATAGCTGTTCTTGTCGCTGGTGTTTACTCACCCGATGTCTTTGCGGAGGACAAATCACATCCCCCCTCAGCCTTGATTTTGCAAAGCCAAACAAACCAAGCTCTTCATCCCCATCTCACAGACAGGCTCTCTGCTTCCGGGTCACAACCCTTCTCCACCCCTGCCCTGGCCTGAATTAATCTTACTTGATTAGACATCAAGCTTCTGGAGGAGGCTTTGCTGGTGCCTGGCACAAAGGCACCAGTGCTGCCCTCTCCCTCCCTGCTGGAAATCCCACAGGATCCATCAATGCTGTGATGGCTTTGCAGAGGTTCATGCTCTTGCTGCGATCAGCCAAACCCACCCTCCTTCCTCCTGGCCATCGGCAGGTGAGGAGCATGGGGGGCTGGAGAAGACTTTCTCTTTCTAACCCCCAAATATATGACTCTGTGCTTCCTGCTGTGACACTTTATCCCATCACAGAAATGATCTGAGGACTGGAGCCTCTCTCCTATGAAAACAGGCTGAGAGAGTTGGGGTTGATCAGCCTGGAGAAGGCTCCGGGGAGACCTTCTAGCAGCCTTCCAGTGCCTAAAGGGGCTACAAGAAAGCCAGAGAGGAGTTTTGGACAATGGCAAGTAGTGATAGGACAAGGGGCAATGGCTTTAAACTGAAAGAGGGGAGATTTCAATTAGACCAAAGGAAGAAATTTTTTACACTGAGGGTGGTGAGGCACTGGAACAGGTTGCCCAGAGAAGCTGTGGCTCCCCCATTCCTGTAAGCATTCAAGGACAGGTTGGATGAGGCTTTGAGGAACCTGGTGTAGTGGAAGATGTCCCTGCCCATAGCAGGGGAATTGGAACTAGATGACCTTGAAGGTCCCTTCCAACCCAAATCATTCTATGATTTCTCTTGATAGGCCCTGATGAGGATGACGACGATCAAACTAAATCTAAGATCAAAACAACCTCAACATATTGCTCCATATTTAGCTGACACCCACAGCGTGGGACAGTCCCAGAACATGAATGCACACTGGACAGACACGCATGGATGCTACAAGTATCTTCTCATCCCCTGAACGGAGAGGAAGGCAGCGTGTCCACGAAAGCCCACCTGGCCCCCGTGACAAAACCAGCCCCTTCCTCGGTGTGCAGGACTTGCCACATTGGGTGAGCTTTGGCTTGGGAAGAAGAAGGGCAGCCATTTCCGTGGAATTTAATGGTTCTCAGGTTTCACCCACTGTTTGAAAATGAAATTTTTGTATGGTTTGCAGGATTCAGGTTAAAAGCCCACATCAAACATAGAGCTTTTCTTTCATCCATTATTAAAACAGAGGCTACCGGCAAAATTCAGAGCAGCATATGGTTACTTGCACTAAGACGAATCATTTTCTGATTAATGACAGCTTGAGACTTGCTTGCAGAGACATGTGTGCTTGTAATCTGCAAAGGTCATATTGTAAAATATGTCTAATTTAACATATTAAAGAACAATTATAATGCCAAATTTAAAGAAAAACAACCAACCAACCTACAACCCACTAGGTTGTGCGAACACTTGAACACCAAGACCAAAACCAGGTCAGTGCTCTCCTGCCTTGGCTGCTGGACACCGCTACCAGCACAAGCGTCACAGCACCATGTGCTGAGCCCCAGACCTGGACTTCAGGATCCCCACATTGCTGATAACTAACAACTCAAGAGCCCTGAGAGAACCCTGTATGGGGGGAAAAAAACTATGGGTAAAAGTCAATCACTAAAGAGCAAGTCCAACGAGAGTCCCACCACTTCCCAGCTCAAAGGTCACCTCCCAAGGCAAGGGGATGCATGGAATCGATCCATGTCCCCAGCAAGGGGACATACCCCGGGAGAGCGAATGTCAGGATGTCACCAATCGGCGAGGTGACAGGTGCATTTACCAGCATATATAACATTTACGCACTGAAAATCTGCAGCGTTAAAGGCCCCTGATGCAGCTTCAACTCAAATGTCATTTCTGTTCAAACAGGAAAGCGCGACGGCTGTCAGCACCTCTGCCGTGGACCCGCTGCCCGGCCGAGTTAAAGGCTCAGGAACACACTCCGCGTTAAATAGGATGGATTCACAGCAAACGCTGAGACTCGTCAGAGTGATCGGCAACCCCCAATTGCTGGAGTTACGCAGAAGGAAAGTGGAAACATTTAGGACTTTCTAAGAATAAAACTGGAGCATCTGCAAAGCCAGACGTACAACAGTGGTGGGATGCAGAGAGGGAGCTGATGCAAACCTTTGGCAAACGCTCCTCCAAGAAGGAAAACTCCCGGGACTTAACAGATAGACACAGGGGATGCCTCAGGAAGGACTGGGCAGCTGAAATTCACTCCTGTTCTGCCTGGAGACAGCGAGACTTGGAGCACACGGGGGTTTCTTTCATACCAAACCCAAACAGTGATTCTCAGGAGCATCACAGCAGGGGTCGAATGGGCTCTTCTCACCCAGAGAGCCTCTAAGAGCACAGAAGATGGTGTGAAGACCCATCAGAGTCATGGAGTTTGTGCTGAGGGTGTTTTCCCAGGAAAACCCGAACTCTCCCCATTCCCATCTGGGTGCTGGGGATGCTGTAGAGTCAGGGGATGTGACCAAGGTGACTCAAGGAAGCAGTAGCAAAGCAGCAGTGCTGCAGGCAGGGCAGCCCCCAGCAGCTGCCCACCCCAGCACAGAGCCACCACTCGCTGCCGGCGAGAGATAGGCTCCGATTTATTCAGCACTAAAAGGTTTCCAAACTGGGCTTATCTACAAAGCACAGCAACCGGTGGATGATATTGAGCCATCGGTGTTGGAAAACACAAGGGGGAAATTATTGAGGCTGCATTGTGTCTTCAGAAAGCTGGAATGGAATGTCCCCTCGGCCCTTGCCGCGCTCCACTTTTGCTCAAGCGCTGCTTTTCAAGCCTTGCGAGTCTCACCGCAGTCGTGGGTGTTGCTTAATTTTAAAAATACTCATTTTAATCAAGCTGAACAGAATAGAAAGAATAGCACCGGGGGGAGCATGAGCCCTGCAGCCTGCAGGATCCGGCCGCGCTGTAGGTCCCAGCCAGGACACTTGACTAATGAGGCTTTTGAAGCAGCAGCAAGTTCAGCTTCAGAACAGATAGAAACTAAAGAATGCTCTTTTTAAAAACTCCTAAAACTTAAAAAAAACCAAGGTTTTTCACAGGTGGGGTTGAGTCAGCTGGGCTGCAACAGAGGCAGCTGGGGGGGTTTCTTTTACCCGGCAGGTTTCCATGAGCCAGGGACGCAGCGTGCCTGGGATTGCTCTGCTTCGAAGGCTGCAGTAAGGTGGCACAGAGCAGAGAGTGTCCGCAGCTGGGGGCCTTTGCTGGTCCCAGGTCTCAGTTGCTCCTCATCCTCCCAAAAGTCGCTTAAAGCATCAAACTGCAAAGCTCGACCCCAGATTTTGAACCCCCAGAGGTTTGCAATCATGAGTATCAGCAGATGCAGTTCTGCCACTTCTGCTCAGAGCAAAGAGGACCTAATTTGGGATGAGCCAGGACACAGCAGGGCTCAGGGAGGAGGCTCCCAACTTCCAGGACACTCACATCCATCCTGGAGAGCACGGGCCAGGCTCCTGGGAGAGGGTTTGGTGCAGCTTTCGCTGCAGCTCAAAGGGGCTGCGGCTGTGATTGCACATTGGGTAATTGCGTGTGCAATTGCTTACACGGGCAATTACCCGCTGGCACACATGGTGCCCGGGCAGCACAGAGGGCACCGCGCCGCCCCGTCCCCGCGGCACTGCTCCTCGGTGCCAGAGGGGATGAAAAAGCAACATTCAGCCCTGCCTCTCTGGTGGGTTTTTTTGTGGGTTTTTTTTAAGGGATGAGGGACTAACACATGG